TACATTCAATATGACAATACTATTTTACACCAAAAATCCCAAACTCTCCCCTGGAATTGAACTGATGTCCTGTGGTGCTTCCTGAACAACAAGTTTTTCATTTCTTTTTCTCTTTAAAAAATTAAAATTTGGCATTTTGCAAGGTTGCCTCTAAAGAGGTTGGAGTATCAGCCCAGAACCAAACAGTCCTTCTTAGGGGTCCATATGCACCACCTCCCAGCATATCGAGGAGACAGGGTGGCTATGCGAGCAGGAGGACAAAAAAGGAGCACAGGGACAAACAGCTTTAAGCTGAGAGAAATAAAGAGCGTGGGAGTGAGGAAAGCTCTTCCCCGCCAGCCTTGCAACTCTCCACTTGCAGCTGGGAAATAGTGGTGGAGCCATGCTGCAAGCTGTGATGGGACAAGGGGTTTCATGGGAGGCCTCCACAAGAAGTGGGAGTCAGAGGCTGACAGAAACATTAGGGCACAGGCCCTGTGGTGTTGGGCACAGGAAAATGAGGCCTGTTTCTCAGCAGCCCACACAGGGACCTGTTGCAGACGTGACAGCTGTCAGGGGCCCTTCTACCCCAGGCCTTTAGGTGCTATTGTCACACTGAACCTCCTCACCCATAAGCTGGTTCCAAGGACAAGTGCACAAGGACTAGCCTGTGAGAAAGGGAAGATCCACATCAGACACTTTCACACGAGGAAAAACGCTCACGCTGTTAACCATCAATCCGTTAACCATGGATGAGGGTAAAATGACCCTGCTGCCAGCCTGAGCCATTTTCAAGGCATCTAGGCCAAGCTGGAGAAGTACTGCAAACAGAAGACCCAAAGCCTTGTTCTGAATGACTGCAGCATGAACCTTTGCAGATGTGACAACTAAGTTGGTCACCAAGTAAAGGAAACCATCAAATAATTAAACAAAGCACCAGGCCTAAAAGGAGCTAAGGAAAGTCTATAATTAAATAATGGACACATGCAACAGCATAGCTTTATCCTTAAGTAGTAGTAGTGGTAGCGACTGATGTAACCCAAATGCGTATCTATAAATATTGGCATAGGCTGAAGGGAAATTTGGAGAACTCAGCAAATTCAAGAAAACTTGCTGCCAATCTGTGCCCCCCCCTCCTCCTCCATCCTGAGTCTCCCCAGCCAATATAAGTGAGCACCTATGTTGTGTGGTTCTAGATAGACAGACAGACTTTGGAATAAAGGTTTGTTCTCCTGTTTCAAGGTGCAAACAACGAAAAGGTGGGGCTATAGACTTACTTCTGCCTCTCTTATCAGCAGCCTACCCACAAGGTTACCTGTAATGCAGATAACGGGAGGCAGGGGTGGCAAGAGGGAGGGCGTTGCAGGGCGATTCCTCCCATAGGCTGTAGATACAGTCAGTGGCTGACAGGCCACATGGACCCTTGCAAACTACACACCTAGCAGAAGCCTGACTTATGCATGACATGTATAAGTCATGGGTCCGGGGAGGGGGGCGGCAGCAGCACCCTGGCCCTCCCATGGCCAATCGCCAAGCCAGGGGAGCACATGGTCCAGACAAGCCAGAAGTACTTCCCGTCTATTTCCAGGTTCGCTGTCGAGCACGTGGAGGACCACCCCCTCCTGTGGGAAGCTCCATGCACCCCAGCATCGCAGTGTTCACAAGCTGCGCTGGTACCTTGAGGTATATAGACACAGCTTTAAAAGTTTTTCCTATGTCCAAATCAGCATCAAATCTTCAGATCTGGCCAAATTGAATCAGGGACAGTGATCCGAATCAATGAATCGAGTCACTGTCCCCGATTTGGGCCGAATCTGAATCGGATCAGGCTCACTTTGCACACCCCTAATGAGCAGTGCTCCTCCATCTCAGAGTATTTTTCCCCAGGGACAGAGGCCCCAGCTGCATGGCATCTCCAAGTCCACAGGAAAACTGGTTCACTCCCAATCCCAAGCTTTCACTGAGATACATCTACATGACACCTATCAGAATTCTAATATTATAATAACCTACGTCTGTCTGTCCATAACACTTTATTCACACCCCAACTGGCTGACAGAAAGAGAGCGCTCCAAGCGTGGGGGAGCACCATCATGATTCCGAAGCCGCGCAGAGGACTGGACAGAGGGTGGGGGACCCGAGACCCCCACCTGACTCCCTGCCTGAGGTGAAACAATGGCAGCATGGGGTGTTAGGTGGCAGCACTGCATGCGAGCCCCCTCTCCCTTCCGCCATTCTTGACAGGCAAGTGGCTAGTACTGATTATATAAACCCACATATAAATATTACGTGTAAATAAAGGGAAGCTGTACAACAGGAGGGTGCTACTAGCCACAGGCAACTGGTAGGAGAGGCAGAGAGGGGCCCATTCCCTGCCTGGGATTGGGCCCCGACTCAGCACCACTCAGGACGAGGCAGTTTTCTTGCTGTGCATGCCAGCAGCGTGATGGGGGGAGGGGACACTAAACCACAGCACACAAGTATAGGAGTAGATATGAGCAGACAAGGTCCCTTGGATGAATTTTATATCTTTTATTAGATCAACGCAAATAGTTGAAGAATAGTTATTAAGCAAGCTTTTGGGTTCAAAAACCCTTCGTCAGGCTAAGCTGGGTTCAGCACTTGGTGTGTGCTCTTCCTGGATGGAATGGAAAGTAAAGAAGCCAGGGGCTGGGCTGGGGAGTCAGTTGCCAGGCAAATTATAATGTGTCAAAAATCCAATGTCTATGTTTAGTCCCTGATCTCTAGTATCCAAGAGGTTGATGAAATGGAGCTCACAGGCTCATCTCTGGGAAGTGTGTAAGTTTCCACTGAGGATCAGGACTGAGAGTAGATATGAAGCTTTTGGCCTGCCCCATGGCCCGCCAACAAACTGTGCCCGTTCCAGACTCAGGAGGTACCAGTCACCCCTGCTACCAGCAGTCAGAGGCAAGAGCTGCAGGGGTTACCGTTGGAGCAGGACACAGGAATGATGTGCCTCCAGGTAGAAGCCTAGGCAACTGCTGGTGTGTTCTGTCCGCTGAGACCGTCCCCCACTGGCTAAGCCAGCATTCGGGGAAGAGCATGGACACCTCCTGCCGTTTCATCCCAGGCTCGAAGCCACAGGCACCGGGGACGCGGCCCCCGTGCACGAAAACTACCGCGACATTAAGCGATCACGGGCAGACCCAGTGCGCATGCGCGGTAGGGTTAAGGCTCCCAGTTACACGACGAAACTATCGATGAGCTGCCACGGACACGCATGCGCACTTGGGAAGAGGTTGACTCGCATTTCCCGCCCATGGGCATAGCAAATACGCATGCGCTGAGCAGTAAGTGAGCTGATCACCTGAACATTATCAATACGTGTGGAACTTACACCTGCGCACAAGACGCAGTCGAAAAATATCGATCACCGATATTCAGGATTGGCGCATGCGTCCTAAGAATCAACCGACGTTGCCAGAGGCATGGATCAGTTTCCATGTTTAAAGGGAAGTGACGACATATCGACTGCCGAAACTTTCAGTGCACGTGTCAATGCGCATGTGCGCTGAAAATGAACACTACTGTTCCCTCCAGGTCCAATACTCGCGTAGAGATGGTTGCCCGCCCCCACGTCTCTCCCAGTCTACAGCCACAGCCACAGGTGCTGCCGCTTTAGAAAAAGCGCTGGGGGAGGCTCACTACGCATGTGCTATACAGGGCAGGCTCCCAGTCGCGTGACGAACACATCACTGAGAGGCCCTGACCACACTTGTGTATTTGGGAACAGGCAGCACATCGTTTCCGAAATCCGCAAGTACGCATGAGATACTGATCCCACTCACGTGCCAAAACATCAAGAGAAACCACGATGACGCACGCGCACTTCTGGAGAGGTGGTGCATAGGGTCTGGCAAGGAATAATGGATGTACGCATGCGCTTGCCTCAGCCTGTTGAGCTGATCACCGAGTCAACCGATATTGTCCCTGTGCGCATGCACTAGTCAGACAAACTATATCGAGCAGCCACATAATCGATTCGCGCATGCGTCCTGCGGACTAGTGGACGCTGCCACAGCGGCGAGCGTGGACCATGGTTACGGCGACAGTGACCACACGACGAATACCGAGAGTACACATACGCATTAGAAAAAAGCACTAGCTGGCTCTCTGCGGCCAACACTCGGGGAAGGATAGACTAGACTCTCCACCACCTTCTCCCAGTGCCCAGCCACAGCAAGTCAGGGCTCAGCGCTGCTGTGCGAGAGAGCGGTCGCAGCGTAAAAACACGATTGAAAGAGAACCAGTGTGCATGGCCATACAGTGCAGGCTCCCACTTGCGCCATGAAAACAGCAACGAACGACCATGAACACGCATGCGCACTTGGGAGGGGGGCGGTGCATCGACTTTACCCTTCAATAGGCAAAACAAGTACGCATGCGCGGACGTTGAGCTGTTGATCAGTTATCATTGCGCCTGGTCCTGGGCAGAGCTGCACGGGGGAGCTCCGGGCAATCACAGATGTCCTGCACCCGCACACGGGGCAGATTCCCTTCCGGAGTACGGTAGTCTGTGCTCCCCGAAAGCCGCCACGATCTCTTGTGCCGCCTGATCTGCCAGTCCGCTGTCCACATCCTGACCCGCGCGCCGGTCTGTTTTCCATTTCCACCCCGTACCCAGTCCCACCTGCTGCTCTACTTTCCGCTCCCACCCTGGGGCACCGAATGCGGACCAGATGCGCCCGGGGGACCCTTGGAAGCGCAGCACCAGCCCGGCAACAGCGTGCAGGCCGCATACTTCCGGTCCACCCCCAAAGCCGCCGCGCCCCCCCCCCCCCATCCCGCGCGTTCCACCGTCGCCTCGTGCCCCAGCCCACCCCCGGGGCGGCCCCTCACGCCCCGCCCCGCCGCAGCCGGGTCCGAGTCTGTTCCCTTGTTTTTCCCCGGCGGAGCCGGAGCTCGCGCCCGCGGGACTCCAGACCCACCCGCCCGGAGGGAGCCCGTCTTTCCTTTCATGCCTGGAGCCCGGCAGCCTCGTCGGGCCCAGAGATCCCGGCAGATCCCGCCTCCCGCGACCCAGATAAGGGCTTGTGTGGGCCATCTCTTGCACTGCAGCAGCAGTGGAAGAGGAAGGTCCAGGCCTGGGCCCTCAGCCCCCCGCTGCTATTCCTGCTAGGCCACAGTGGCAGCATTTCTGGGTGTCATAGTTCACATCGCCCAGACCCCTCTCACTGCTCCTGCTGCCGCTGCAAAGGGCCTGCTCTTCTCACGGTCTTGGTGCTCTGGAGCCGGCCTGCGTGTGTGGGTCTGCGGCCTGTTGTGCACCTGGGCCTGGAGCTCCTGTTTCCACGGCCTGCGCATGGCTTTCAACTTCTTCCACTGACATGTCTTGGTTTTTGCTTCTAGCTTATCCTAAATGATATAGCCCTAGCCCTCCCCCCAACGTCTTAATAAAGCTTCCGGCGGATATTTACCTGGAGGAAAATGTGGGTTGTTTTCAATGAGATGCTGCACCTCACGGTCTGCGCCCCCATTTCTAAATGAATTTCTAAATCCACTGCTGGCGGTGGAGCCGGGAAAGAGAAAGGTAAGGTTCTGGGGATAATGTTGCCATCTCTAGGTCCCTCAGAAACAGCCGACAGCGAGAGCTTAGAGCATGGCACAAGGGCCTGCACTGAACTCCAGTTTGAAGATACATAGCGTATGAGAGACATTGCTAGGTAGCTGGCAGGTGAAATGCAGAAGAAAGCATAAATACAAGAGCAAGTCCATTCAAGAAGGCTGGTATCACCAGCACAGTATAGAAACTGGGGGACATCACCTACATAACAATGGACCACAAAGGCAAGGTCTGTGTTCAGCCTGTGGTTCTTTAGCAACCTAATTCAGTTTTTTCCCCAGGCCAGGCCTCTGAAACCACTTTTTAAACTTTCCTTAAGCATAAGGACTTTAAGCTCAGAACGGAAGTGGTTTCTCTGTCTCAAAAAAATGCTTTATCTGTGCTCTAATATTGCAGTCCCTCACCTGATTTCTGACGGTTTCCTCTTGGAAGTAGGTTGTGTCTAGTTTCAACCAGTTTCCAGGAGAGCAGCTGGCGTGCTGGGTTAGGTTACACAACAGGGAGAAATAACCACCTGAGTTGTTTCCTTTCTGATCTCTTCTATAGCTCGTTAAAGCCCCACAGCAGCATGCAGTCATTCCAAACACAGCCAGACTTCAGTCCAGTGGTCCTGAGGCTACATGTATGTGCTTCAAAAGGAGTTGTAGTGGTGACAGCCTTCTACCAGGACACAGGTGTTTGCCAATACCTGTCAGCTGTAGGTTATATATATATTTAAAGGTTAGAATGTGTCTGAATCTGGAATCATGGCCCTACTGCAACAGAGTAAGCCTTTTATAGAAGGTGAGGTTGCAGCATTATTTCTGCACTGTTCCCACCCTTGTTGCAACTCTCCAACTGCAATGGGGAAATACTGGTGCATCTCCACTGCAGACTGCAGTAGGATGAGGGGTTTCAGCAATGGCCTTCAGGGGCTGACAGGTTCATTAGGGTCACAGGCCTGTGCTGCTGGCCACATGAGGGCAACAGGGTACAAGGTACTGAAGCTGGCAGAAGTCCAAGTGCACAACACCTATCCAGGCACAGAGAGTTACAACAGCAAGTCTGTGCATCTACCCACTGGTATAGGCCTAGCCCAGGGACACGCCGTGGCTTTTGGAAGACACTGCCAGTAGCTTGGAGGCGAGAGCCATAGCCACTGGAGGCGGTACCTATGGACCTGCCCAAGTGAATGATGTGCATCCAGTCAGAAGCCAAGGCAACTGCTGGAGAGTTGTTCCCCAAGTGTGTCAAAGGCAGAAACCTGCACTTACCTGCTGGAGGGGCTGGCTCAGCTGTTTCCAGGAGACTGGTGCAGGCCCCAAATGCCCATTTCTGAACAGTCCGCACAGAGACCTGGTTGCAGATGCGTCAGGTGTCAGAGACCCTTCTACCCCATGACTTCTGGTGCTGATTGTCACGTTCCACCTCCTCAGCAATAAGCTGGTTCCAAGGACAGGTGCACAAGGACAAGCCTTAGAGGCCCACATCAGAAAGTGTCATGCAAGATAAAATATTCACAGCATTAACCCCAACACTGATGATGGTAAGATGACACCTGCATGCCCACCACTGTCTCAGGACTTGGTTTCATAGCTCCCAGCTGACTTAGGCACAAGAAATGTCTCTCAGGGAAACAAGAAAAGCTACAAGAAGTATTAACCAGTATAGGGTGGGGGTAACTAGGGCCAGTATAGCTGGATAACTGGGACCAGTAAAGGGGGTGGAATTCAGACCAGTATAGCTGAGTAACTGGGACCACGAAAGGGGGTGGTAAATGGGACCAGTAAAGAGGGGGTGAGTTGGACCAGTCTAGCAGGTACATAGGACCAGTAAAGTTAAAGGTAACTTGGACCAGTCTAGCAGGGTAACTAGGACGAGTAAAGGTCGGGGTAATTGGGACCAGTGAAGCGGGGGGGTGTAACTGGGAACAATCCAGCTGGGTAATTGGGACAATTAAGGGGGGATAACTGGGGCCAGTAGAGCTGGGTATTTGGGATCACTAAATTTGGGGGTAACTGGGACCAGTATAGCCTTGTAATTAGGACCAATAAAGGGGGGGATAGCTGGGACAGGAAAACAGGGTAACTGGGACCAGTAATGGTTGGGGGATAACTGGGACCCGGGTAGCTGCAGATCCCCAGAACTGCCTGTGTGGCCCACAGACCTGGTTTACACCCACATCCAGCACATCGAGGAGACAGTGGCAGCAGAGGGAGAGGAGGAGGGAAAATGGGATCAGAAACAAATAAACAGCTTCTAGCTGAGAAAAGCCAAGAGCCGGGGCGGGGGCAAGGAAGCATTCTCCCCACTCTCCGGCAACCAGAGACAACCTGAGCAGGGTGCAGGGCCCGGGGCAAATCAGCCTGTGCAGGGCGTCACCCCTGGAGACAAGGAAGTTGGTGGCTGATTTGGCAGCGGGGGAGACTAGGAAAGGCTGTCAGAGGCTGCCAGATAGGACAGGTTCACAGGGGCTGGGTTTTGGGAACATAAGGATGAGTGGCTAACAAAATCTGAAGCCTGCACAGATCAAAGTGCTCAACACCTCACCCAGGCACAGGGGGGGAGAATACTAAGGCTGTGGGCAGGGCCATCCCTAGCAGGGGCGAAATTGGGATGACCACCCCAGGCCCCACGCTTTGGGAAGCCCTGCAGATTTGGGTGGAGTGGCACGCTGAGAGGAGTGGCACTGCCGCTGCAACAGAGTAAGCCTTTTATAGAAAGTGAGGTTGCAGCATTATTTCTTTTGAGTTCAGTGGAGTGGCACTGCTGCTGGCTTCACGTTCAACCACTAAAGCACCACACCCGCTCTGTCACTGAGTCTGGTGTCCAGCCACTCGCCACTTCCTCCCACCGTCGAATCTGCTGCTAGCTTCCTTGCATCTGGGGGCACGGCCCTGCACAGGCCGATTTCCTCCGGGCCCCCACCCTGCTCCGGTCATCTCTGTCTGTGGAGTCTGGCGCCCAGGGTCCTGCGAGCCAAGGGGCAGGTCAGTACTTTTGGAGGGTGCTACCACCAGTTAGAGGCAACAACGGCAGTCAGTGGAGGTGTTACCGTAGGAGCAGGGCACGTGGATGATGTGCATCCAGGCAGAAGCCGAGGCAACTGCTGGTGCGTTCTGCCCGCTGAGTGTGTCAAACACAGAAACGCAAGTATAGCTGAGTAAGTGGGACCACCGGGGGGGGGTAAAGGTGGGGTAACTGGGACCAGTATAGCTGCGTAAGTGGGACCAGTGAAGCGGGGGGTGTAACTGGGACCAGTATGGCTGCATATTTGGACCAGTAAAGTAGGGGGTAACTGGGGCCAGTAGAGCTGGGTGACTGGGACCAGTAAAGGTACTCACCTTCACCCATGGAGCCTTGGATGTTTCCAAGTCCTGCTCCTGTCACTGCCGGCTCCAGGACGGGGCACGAGGAGGCGCCTGCGAGAGCGGCAGACCCGCGTTAGACACTTTCACGTGAGAGAAATCGCGCGCACCGTCGACTGCAGAGCCGTGGACGAGACGACCCGTACGGGCCGGCCCAGCGCATCCCCATGGAGAGGTCTCCCGTCACCACACAAAATGACCCGTTTTCCACACAAAAACCATCACGTGCCCTCAAAACAGGTTTTCAAATTCCCACACCATTCACCTCACACGTAATAACCATATTTCCTGACATTTACCCAATCACCACACAATTTTCCACAGGTTGCACAACACACACGTCACATAAAAAAGCTCCCATTTCATGCTAAAATTACCACACCATTTTCCACACACAAAATTAGCATATTTCCACACACAGTTCCACAAACCGTAACCAATTCACCAGTTTTCCACACAAGGTCACCATGTTTTCCAAACAAGTCCTTTATCACCACACAGAATGACCCGTTTTCAAACGAGCAAACGAAGAAAATAACACGTAATTCCACACATTTCCACAAAAAGGTTCCCAAATCCCCGCAGAGGTCTCCCGCTGTCCCCAGATTTGCCCAAACGTTTCCATACAAACGCCCCCGAATCACCCGACACAAAATGGCGGGATTTCCCG